GAACAAAACATAATTCCAAGTGCAACACAAAGTTCACAACAATCCACCCGAAATTGCTCCCATATTCTAGGTTCTGTTGGACTTCATCAGCCCACCTTGTTCCGGGCTTCTTCTTCCAGCCGTCTCTTCTTGTCCACGGTCTTCAAGGTGGCCGAGCTGTTGCTAGACACTAGCTGATCCTCTTCTGCTTTGGCCATCACGTGCCGGGCCTTTTCACACTCCTCCGAGCGTTGCATGTACATCTGCTTGGCCTTGCGCAAGTTGTTCTCGGCCTCTTGCTAGAGTGGGAAACGCAAAGCATCATCCCTCTTGGTTTTCCCCCCTGCAAACATTTCGGCCCCAAACTAAGCAACAGCATCAGTGCCTACATCTGCAAGTGGTGGCTTTTGAAGAAAACCTGCTCCTTCAAATGAAATCTGTGGATGGCCTTGGGGGAATGAAGGGAAGAGGTGCTGCCTAGGAAACCATAAGAGAGGCAGGAGCCCCCACTGGCTTACAGGCCAGAGAAGGAAACTTAAGAAGGACCCACCTAATGGATCAAGCAATTATAAGTAGCGGCGGGAAGTTTATGCCTCTCAGACTTGATTCTGTCAATGTAGCCTTACAATAAAGTAGAATTAGCTCATCTATAGATAGGCCTCGACTTATGACGACAATTGGAGGCAAAATTTCTGTTGCTAAGCAAGACAGTTGTTAGGTGAGTTTTGCCCCATTTAATGACCTTTCTTGGCACAGTTAAGTGAATCACTGCAACTGTTAAGTTAATAACATGGTTGTTAAGCAAAGCTGACAGACTTTGCCTGTCAGAAGGTCACAAAAGTTGGCCACATGACTCTGGGACACTGAAACCATCATAAATATATGCCAATTGCCAAATTTTGATCCGGTGACCATGGGGATACTGCAATGGTCATATAAGTGTGAAAAACAGTAATAAATCACTTATTTTAGAACAGTTGTAACTTCGAACAGTCACCAAACCAATGGTTATAAGTCAAGGACTACCTGTAGTTATGTCTCCTCTCTGGTTTACCTGGGCGAACTGAACCTGCCCAATTCCTCCCACTACAGTGATTCTTACTTATTTGTTTGTTTACTGGGGTTTCTATGCTCTTCCAATCCAATATCACAGTTGAATCTTGAATGTCTACATTTGGTCTTGTTCGGTTTTGGCAGACCAGCATACAGGCAGGCTTCACAATTGGGGCTGGCAAATCCATTGCTAAGCACTACAGTCAATAAGTGGAAAATCAACAAGCTCAAGATGCCACTTCCCATTTGGTCATTAAGCAAACCACCAGGGTCGTTAAGCAAAACATCACAGGATCACAGCTTACAATTTTACTGCCAGGTTTTCCATTAACTCTGCTTCTTGCCAACCAGTTGTGAAGTTTGCTGATTTAGCTGACAAAGATTGGTCACAAAGCTGTTTTTTTTTTTTTATTTTTGAAGGTGGAAAATGTGTGGCACTGTGACACCAACAGTAATATGTTCTTTTCTCACCCACTGTTTATTTTTTGTTTTTTAAAACTTGTGGGTGTATGTTTATTAAATGGTCAAAATTCTATGAGCAGGAGGAGTGTCCGAGGAATGTGGTTAAAAAAAAGCCACAAGGGTGGACATGAGCATTTTGATTCCTTCCTTGACCAAATCCTCGAGACACTGCTGGAAACACACCTGAGATGTATGAAACTGCTATAACCTTCAGGCTGAGAAAACCCATAACCCTCCAGGGCTCCCCATGAGCATCTCACCAGCTTCCTCTGGGCTCGGTGCCACTGTTCCTTAATCTCCTTCCGCCGCTTTTCATGCTCGAGGCGCCTCAGGGACAGAGGCTGAGGAAGAAAAAGAAGAAAATGGAGTCAGTCTGATTGCTAGAGGAAAGAAAACGGTTACATACAGAAGACCGGGACAGTCCAGGAATGAAGGCCAAGCCCTAACCCTGATCTAAGCCCAATGCACTCCTGTTTGATTAGATTAGAATAATGGTTCCTTGATTAGAATAATAGAGTTGGAAGGGACCTTCTAGGTCATCTAGTCCAACCCCCGCTCAAGCAGGAGACCCTACGCCAAATCTGACTTCCAGGGATGAAGCTCCCACAACTTCTGAAGGCAAGTGGTTCCATCTGTGTAGTAATTGTTCAAAGTTACAACCGAACTGAAAAAAAGTGACTTATGGGCGTTTTTCACACTTACGACCATTGCAGCATCCTCATGGTCACATGATCAAAATTCAGATGCTTGGCTGATTCATATTTATGATGGTTGCAGGGTCTCAGGATCATGAGATCCAGTGGTGGGATTCAAATAATTTAACAACTGGTTCTCTGCCTTCGAGGACCTGTATACTACACCAGTCAAAAAGAGGGCTATGAAAATATTTACAGACCCTTCACATCCCGGACATAAACTGTTTCAACTCCTACCCTCAAAACGACACTATAGAGCACTGCACACCAGAACAACCAGACACAAGGACAGTTTTTCCCCCCAAAGCCATCACTCTAATAGACAAATAATTCCCTCAACACTGTTCAACTATTACAAAGTCTGCACTTCTATTACTGTTAATCTTCTCATCACTCCTTATCGCCCATTCCCTCCCACTTGTGACTGTATGACTGTAACTTTGTCGCTTGTATCCTTACAATTTATATGGACTGTTTCCTAGTATGGTTTGATTGCTTATTGTACCCTATGACTATCATTAAGTGTTGTACCTGATGATTCTTGACTCTTGATGAATGTATCTTTTCTTTTATGTATACTGAGAGCATTTGCATCAAGACAAATTCTTTGTGTGTCCAACCATACTTGGCCAATAAAGAATTCTATTCTATTCTATTCTATTCTATTCTATTCTATTCTATTCTAT